GATAATCGATTATCACATAGGCAATAATCGATTATCAGGGCTCTCTGAACTTAGGACTTCCCGAACAAACCAACTTGACAATCGATTTTCATAAGGTGACAATCGACTATCACAGTCTGCAGGACTTTGGGGACAGAAGCTGCACAGCATGGTAATCGATTATCAACAATAGACAATCGATTATCAGCCAGTTCTGAACTTAAGGCCATCATGTTGAACAAATTGTTTTCATACGGAATCAAACATATATGTATGCATTGAATTTAATTTCATTCTTCAATCAATGCATTCAATTCATCATGTTCATCCTAGACGCATGTCCTAGGGTCATCATCATGTGCATACCGCTGTAGGGAGGTCAGGCTTTCGTGCGCCTACTACAGTGGGCCCGTCCAGGAACCTTTGGGATCCAACGGGTTTTCATCAGGTGGGCTTTATGTACGTACATGGTGGTCTGGCTACGGCTACCACCCAGTTTTTGCTAGTTCACTTGCGACGTTTTGTCGAGCCCGGGTCATTACCGGAGTGCAGGGGTGATCCTGTCAAGTGAGATTAAGTCAGGGGTGTCCCTAATAGCTCAAGTCATGCATCAAGTCATATTGTCATCATGTATGTTTCATGTCACGTCAACATTCAATGTGGTTGTCATCATCATGTATGTTCCCATCATGTCCATATTCAATGTGGTTGTTATTCATTTTGTTATGTGTAATAATATCCCATCAAGTGCAAATTAATAAGTTAGCAAACATGTGGTTTTCCGTACGTTAAGTAAAGGTATTTAAATGTGGATAACCATATGGGTTATCGCTACATGTTCTTTTGTTCGATTCACTCCTCAGCTTTTGCTGAACGTGTAGTTGTTTTTGCTACACGCAGGTAGACATGACGGTGCATGTGCTAACCCTGGAGGACAGTGATGGTGGAAAGATGGGCAGCGCATGGACAAGTTCAATAATTAAATACATTTAATTAATTAATCATTTGGGCATGAACCCACCATTTGTCATTTTACTCATTTATTTACTTCCGCTTTTACTCGGCATTTAAATCACACATGTTTTGGAATTAATTCCCTAGCATTTATTTCACCAATTAAACTCAACCGTTTTCCTAATAAATAGTCATTAATGCGGTTTTCTCTACAGACGGTTCTCGGACCGCCCATGTAACCCTACCGGTCCATTGGGTCGCGGTGAACCGGGACCACGGAAGGCGGATGTTACAATTTGGTATCATAGCAATTCGATTTTTGTGAAAAAAAACATATTTTGTCATCTTGGTCAAAGAGTATATTCAAAAAGTCCACAGTCGCATCTTCCATCACATCACTTCGAGGGAAAGGTACACCGTTATTTAATTCATTTATATGTCATATTGTAATTAGTTTTGATTTAAGCTCTTCTTATAGAGAATGAGCCAAGCAGTAGGTAATGACGGACAGGTATTGATGTCCGTCAATACCCAAGCTCAGGTTTTTAAAGGAACTATCTTCTTAAGAACAGGGAAGAAATAATCGATTGTCCAAAGTGGATAATCGATTATCAGGGGCTTCAGATTCTGGGGGCAATTTTCTGGGGATTTTCTGGGAGGGGAGATAATCGATTTACAGGAGGTGTCAATCGATTATCGAGGATGGCAGGTTTTTTTGGAAAGGCTGATAATCAATTATTGGAGACTGATAATCGACTATTGAGGGCTGCAGGTGTTTCACGAAGGATAGATAATCGATTTCCAGTGGGGATAATCGATTATTTGACAGCTCGAGACAGGAACAAGGTACTTCTTTGGTAAGAAAATCAAACCAAATTGGTTTTAAGGGATATTACACACCCTTATCTTAACTTGGGGTTGAATCTAGCATTTAAATAAGATATTACACACTTACTTAAATAACTAGAACCTAAAACTCACACTCAAGAGAACCACTCTTAAGATATAGGATTAGGAATTTGGAATGAAACGCACAAGTGGATCACTTAGATTAAAATTGGAATACAATATGTGTTTACAATGCTCAGGGATGAGCTTATATAGGCATAGAAAAGGGAGACTACCAAGTCTCTTATTCACACAAATTAAAGAAATTAATGGCCACTTGTTGATGTTCCTTTAGTGGGAAAAACACAGAGATTATTGTATTTGTAGGGCAAGATTTTGGCTATTAGTGGTGGGAGGGAATATGTGAATATAATTCACAATTGATTGGCTTAGGTGGGGTTGTTTTGGGCAGGAGAAAAGGGTGGGGTAGCAGGTTATTTGGAGGTATTTCCTGGGCTGGATATGGGGTAAAAACATGGGGAATTGAAGGGTGTGGGTGTGGGTCAAGGTGTCTTGGATTTTATGG